CCAAGCACAGTGTTTACAGCCAGCAGCACCCGATAGGATTCACTGTGTTTGCGGGGATGGGCTGTGAGTGAGAGAGGAGTCTGATATGCTAATACTTTATATATCGCAACTTGGCACCCACTTGGAGGTCTTTTGAGCACCCAATGGCAAAAATCCAAATATTCCCAGGAAGTTTAATGCCGCCTTTCTCATTTCAGGTGTGTATTCTTTGGGTTTATGTTTGGCAAGTACGCTAATAAAATGTCTAAACTTCTTTTTTAAAACATACTAGAAAAGAATAAAAGCCTATTTTACTGAAACATACAGAATTACTTCCATGGCAATTAGTAGGCTTGGCAGAATTCGATTTAAAATTTGTTAAATTTCGACTGAGATCCATGTTTACTTTTTACGCAATTTTTTCTTCAATTTTTATCTATTTTTTCAGGGGCATGAAATTATGTGGTGGGGAGGGATCAACATCACATGTCAAAATATACAAAGTAAATCTTCTTAAATCAAACTCTTTTAAGTTCTCAAGTAGCGTTTTTCTTACTTTGCCTCTCTGTAAATGTCGATGATGGTGGAAAGAAATATTTTTTTGTGGGTTTGGAAATGTGTGTACAGTGAAATCAATGCTTACCAACATGTACTGGTGCAAACCTAGTCCTTCCAAGCCTAGCAATAAGGGTAAGGATTTGTGGATGGCTGTCAGGGATCTGAAATGAAGCCAGGAGGTATATATAAAAAAGCCTTATGTCATCATGATGAATGATGATTCAGGTACAAAGAGTGGGCTTGTGGTTAAAGCACTGGATGGAATTCTCCTGGCTCTGCCATAGATTTCCAGTGTAATCTTGAGCAAATCACTTAGCTCCTTTCTGCTCCAGTTATCCCCTCTGTACAGACATGGGGGAGGGACATAGCAGTGCTTTAAGCACCAGGGCTCTTTGCCAGAGAATGTCAAGGTATGTCCATTGAGATATCACAGGATCGGGCCTGCCTGGCAACTGCTGCTGAGCGCTCCTTCAGGAGTGTGGGGGACGAGAAAGAGATGAGCTTGGTGGTTGAAAGAGGGGGTGTAAACAGACACGGCGTGAGTCTGCATATCGCACAGAGGGAGATACGTAGGCATGATTTCAGCGCACTTAGCTTTGTCACATCTGGAAATAAAATGGAGATGATGCTTTGGTGTAACAGAGTGCCATACGGTGACTCGCACGGTTATCAGCTGTGGGAACCCAGCAGCAAGAAGCTGACAGTGTGGTTCCTTCTCTCCAAGGGAGAGAAGGGAGGTGAGAGTGCCTGTCGGGGAAAAATGTCTCGGGCTTGGAAGAGACAGGTTCTGCAGGCGGATCAGCCGACTTTGGGGAAGAGGCTTGGGCTTGAATTCATTGTAAACTAAACTGCAGCTGGAGGGTTTATTTGACTGTGACTGTGAGCTAGAAGTGGAAGCTGAGAGGCATCCAGCATGGTCCAAACCCAAAGAAGAGCGATTCTGTGACCGGCGTGACAGAAGAGAGCCTGCAACAGAGGCGCACTCTACTCCACTGTCCGAAATACGGGGGCGGGGAGAGCAAGGAAAAGATTTCTGCAAAACTCTCGGGAATCGTAAGAGATTTCTCATCGAAAAGTGTTGAGGGGAACTGTGTCCGACGCTGGGAGAAAGGGACAGCGTTGCTATCAGCTGGGAGTGCTGGACTCAATGCAGGAATCCCTCAGTGACTTTTTCTGCGTCAAGTAGAAGATCAAACTGTGAGTGGTCATAATGGACCTTTCTGGCCTTAAAATCTATGGGGCAGATCCTCAGCCAGTATAAACTGGCATAGCTCCATTGACCATTAACACCAGCTAAGGATCTGCTCCAGTGAATCTATGTAGCAAGTTGCTAGTGCCACCAGACCAGGAATGGACACTGGTGTTAAATGGACATGGGCTCAAACCCCGGACACAGGCCGCGGTGCTGTCCCAGAGTTGACTGTGCCCCTTCTGACACATGTTGGCAATGCTTGTGTATCTTGTCATGCCTCTTTGAACTCTGAGAGGACTTTGTTTAGAGGCAGCTGGGAGTGCCACCTACAGTTAGTGTGTCTGGTTGGTTGATTCTCCCACAGGGAAACAAGGCAGTCTGGGCCTATATTCTGCTTCTTTGCAAACTTCGGCCTTGGCAGGGCGAGTCCTTGCCTGGTGCACAACAGGGTGTGCCTTGTTGGTGGAGCAGAAGCTATGCATGGGGCACCAGATGGATTAAGCACTAGGAGCCAGGCTGGGTAAGGAATGGTGTCCCTAGTCTCTGTTTGTCAGAGGGTGGAGATGGATGGCAGGAGAGAGATCACTGATTATTACCTGTTTGGTTCACTCCCTCTGGGGGTACCTGGCATTGGCCACTGTTGGAAGACAGGATACTGGGCTGGATGAACATTTCATCTGACCCAGTACGGCTGTTCTTATGAGCTGTCCTGTGGGTTGAGCTAGAATAAGTATCAAGCCCTTGGTATGTCTGATCCTTATTTGTGAGGCCACAGGGTTACGTACGGAGAAGATATAAAAGTGTCCAGGAAGAGGGAAATTCTCCCTCTGAATATAGTCATAATTATTTATTTGTATTACTGTGTTGCCTAGGAGTGCTTATCGTGGACTAGGGCTCCATTGTGCTAGGCGCTGTACAAAGACAGAACAAGATTCAGAGCGGTAATCTGATCATATTTATGTAACGTAGGAAAGTGAAGACACAGGAAGAGTCAAGGTCCACCATTGCCCAAACCTGCAGGCAGTTTCTTTGTGACCATCCTTTACTTGTACAGCACCTAGGACAGGGAGGCACCGATTCTTGGTACAGTTACTTAGGTGCTTCAGTGATACAAGTAATATGCAAGTCCAGCTACTGCTAACAGATTCTCAGTGGGTCAGTGCAAGAGGATCTCTCCCCCCACCCCCAAGATCCCTGACACCATGAAAATTATCTCTGAGATCAATACAAAGGGGGCACATGATGCAATTTTAAAGCAACACATTTAACACTGATAGAAAGAAATGATTTTACATAATACATAAATCACCTGTGGAACACACTGCTTCATGGTACTGCACAGTCTAAGATTTAGGATTAAAGACATTTCTATGCATAATAAGAACATGCCCAGCTCTGTTGTTTTAGGATAGCAATTTATAACGGCTACAAACCCTCATGCTTCACGGCATAAGCCATGACCGACTGCATGGGTTTAGGAAGAAACGACCGTCAGGGAAGCTTTGATCCATAATTTTGAACTATGGAGGTTTTGCTCTTTTCGCTGAAGCAGCTGGCACTGGCCTCTCTCTGAGACAGGATACCAGACGGCATGAGACATCTGGTCAGCTCTGTAGGTTCTACCAGAGTCTGTAATAGAGCAGGGTCTAAAAACCTTATTTCATTTGGAACCTGATCCAAATTCTCAGCGCCTGCAGCTTCCCAGGACTCCCCACCCACACCCCCTCACGTTGCTTAAGTAGCCGGAATCCTGCTCACTACATCTCCTATCACTGTCTCCCCCTCACTATACAGTGGGTGCGTGTGCATTGCTGATGTTCAAAAGTGAAAGCTAACTGTGGTGAAAGCCAGGGAGAGGCGTTCTGGATGTTGCCAGCTGATGTCACCCCCCATTTCTCTGGTTCAGGAACCCCTCCGAGCGCTTTGTGAAAAGTGCTTTCAACCCAGCCTCCTGGCAACTTGGAGTTAGCCCCCAGGGCTCTCACCTGGAAGATAAACAATTGAGCTGCAGGTCGGTTGTGGTGTCAGGACACGGGAGGGTTGTTACTGAGGGAGCCCATGTTTACTAAAACAGTATCTGCAAGCAGGGCTTCGGAGCTGTGCTCCGGCTCCGCTCCAGCTCCAGCTCCAGGCAAAAACCTGCAGCTCCACTGCTCCAGAGCTGCTCCGCGCTCCAGCTCTGGGCTCTGCTCCAAACCCCTGTCAAGTGACCAAACTCAGCAGCAGCCCCTGGATCAACATTTGGGTTGTTTGTTTAAAATGCTAATATTTTTGTTTTAATCCACACACACAAATGCCCACAGGAGAGCCAGCAGTGATCCTTTCTGTATGATAATGCTGGCTGCACAGAGCTTTGTGCTTTATCCCAAAGCAGCCAGAATTACAGTGAACTTTTTCCCAGGAAACCAAATTCAGGGCTGGAGTTAAACTAACCTGTACTTCCCCCCACCAGATCTTCAACGCCTTGGCTTTCATGCCACCTATACACCGTTCTGCATCCTTCACGTGTCCATGTCATCTAAGGGGGACACAGGGAAAGAGCTCTCTCGGGACTAATCTGAATGAGTAGTATTATTGCTCTCTATTAGTGGTTTGTATGACAGCAGATGCTAGAAACCCTAATGAGGGCTCCATCGTGTTAGGTGCTGTACAGACAATCACAGGTTTGTTACCAGTCCTTGCATCTGAAAAAAAATAAAGGGGAAAAAAGGAAAAAAAAATCTATCCCCGAGGACCACAAATCTCCCTCTTTATGTAGATTTGCAGGTAACTCCTCCCATGCGGCAGTGTATCCACTGGGCATTGATTTAGGGACACCACAGCTTTCTCAAGAGACTTGCTATCCTGTGGTCAATATGGCCACTATCAGCTTTCTCCCTGGATGTATTTGAGACTTTCCTCAGGGGTTAAAGTGCTTCTGGGTTCACTGCAGTGAAGATGTAGAAGAGATGGCATGTGGCTCCTCGAGCCTTGGATGCAGATATCTCAGAACAATTTACAAACGTTAATTAACCCTCATAAGCCCTGTGTGAAATAGGTGGATGATGTTAACTCCCTTTGGTAGCCGGGGGAAACTGAGGCACAGAGCAGTTAAATGACTTGTTCAAGGTCACACAATGAGTCAGTAGCACGGATGGGAGTAGAACCCAAGAATCCTGACTGCCCAGTCTCCTGCTCTAACCACTGGCCTCATTTCCCCCTCCCTGCATGTTGAAATTCGCTGGCTCGTTTGCACTATCTTAAGCCTAAATCCTGTGATTTTCTGTTGTAGATTTCCCTCTGCCTCCGCCGCCACCACCACTTCCTGGAGATGATCTCGGGAACCTCCCGGCGCCTCCTGGTGGCTTTCCCCCACCACCCTCTACAGATGAGGCTGGTTTCAGTGTGCAGGTAAGGCGGTCTGGGTGTTTCCTGCTCAGACAGGTCATAGTTGGGATGGACTATGAGCTGCATGTTCATGGTGATCAAACAAGAGGTAGGGGAGTGCTGTGGTTTGAGAATGGAGAGAGGTAAATAATGGTGTCCTCCAGAGGCCTGTACTGGGACCAGTCCTATTCAACATATTCCTAAATGATTTGGAAAAGGGGGTAAACAGTGAGGTGGCAAAATTTGCAGATGATACAAAACTACTAAAGATAGTTAAGTCCTAAGCAGATTGCAAAGAGCTACAAAAGGATCTCTCAAAACTGGGTGGCTGGGCAACAAAATGGCAGATGAAATTCAGTGTTGATAAATGCAAAATAATGCACATTGAAACACATAATTCCAACTATGCCTATAAAATGATGGGGTCTAAATGAGCTGTTACTACTCAAAAAAGAGATCTTGGATCATTGTGGATAATTCTCTGAAAATGTCCACTCAGTGTGCATTCAAAAAAGCAAACAGAATGTTGGGAATCATTAAGAAATGGATAGATGATAAGACAGAAAATATCATATTGCCTCTATATGAATCCATGGTATGCCCACATCTTGAATACTGCTTGCGAATGTAGTCGCTCCATCTCAAAAAAGATATATTGGAATTGGAAAAGGTTCAGAAAAGGGCAACAAAAATTATTAGGGGTATGGAACGGCTTCTGTCTGAGGAGAGATTAATAAGACTGGGACTTTTCAGCTTGGAAAAGAGACGACTAAGGGGGGATATGATAGAGGTCTATAAAATCATGCTTGATGTGGAGAAAGTAAATAAGGAAGTGTTCTTTACTCCTTTGGATAACACACGAACTAGATGTCACCAAATTGAATTAATAGGCAGCAGGTTTAAAACAAATAAAAGGAAGTATTTTGTCACACAACGCACAGTCAACCTATGGAACTCCTTGCCAGAGGATGTTGTGAAGGCCAAGAGTATAACAGGGTTCAAAAAGGAACAAGATAAGTTCATGGAGGATAGGTCCATCAGTGGCAGGATGGGCAGGAATGGTGTCCCTAGCCTCTGTTAACTCCTGGAAATGTGGTGGAATGGCCCACCTTGATTATCACTTCAGAAGGTTTTCTCTTCCCCCACCCCACTCTCCTGCTGGTAATAGCTCATCTTAAGTGATCACTCTCCTTACAATGTGTATGATAAACACCCATTTTTTCATGGTCTGTGTGTATATAAATCTCCTGACTGTATTTTACACTTTATGCATCTGATGAAGTGAGCTGTAGCTCACGAAAGCTCATGCTCAAATAAATTGGTTAGTCTCTAAGGTGCCACAAGTACTCCTTTTCTTTTTCCCTAGCCTCTGTTTGCCAGAAGCTGGGAATAAGCGACAGAGAATTGATCACTTGGTGATTACCTGTTCTGTTCATTCCCTCTGGGGCACCTGGCATTGGCCACTGTTGGAAGACAGGATACTGGGCTAGATGGACCTTTGATCTGACCTCGTATGGCCATTCTTATGAGATCCCTTAAAACCAAGTCAACTGTAGCTGTTTGCTTCCCGAGTGAGAAAATATTTGACCCCCAACATGCTGGGTTATTAAAGGGACACAGGGCTTGATCCAACTCTCGCCAAAGTCACTAGGCCCTTTCCCCTTGACTTGAATGGGAACTGGGTCTGGTTCAGGGAGTCTGCTCTTGGAGAAGCACATGTGCAGTGAAACATGTTACACCTTTCCTTTTGGATTTCCTTTGCCACCTGGACAAGGTCCTGATGGATCCTGGGATGGACTGTTACAGAAAACCCTGAGCTGAGTCTCGAGAGACTTGATTTAAATTCCTATCTTTGTCACATGACCTTGAGCACATCTCTTAATCTAATAAATTGGTTAGTCTCTAAGGTGCCACAAGTACTCCTTTTCTTTTTGCGAATACAGACTAACATGGCTGTTATTCTGAAACCTGAAATTAATCTGCCCTGTGGCCCAGTTCCCTGTCTATAAAATGGGGATAGTAGCAGAGAAGTCTTGTGAGGATAAATACGTTAATTACTGTGAGACATTCAGATGCTGAAGTTCTGCCTTTCTAAGTGCAGAGATAGAATATGGTCTTGCAGTGGGGTGTACAGACCCTATCCAGCGTCTGGCTGGAAGCAGGTTAACATTCCTGAGCAAGGACCCTGGCTTCAGTGCCATTAAATGCCAGGATTATCAGGGAAACTGGCAGCATGGGCCGTCCTAGCGTTGGGGAATTAGGTGATTTCCTGGCCAATGTTGTTGTGTCTCTTACCTCTCTGAGAAGAGGGGATGTTAGAATGATGGTCAAGGCAAAGCAAGTGACACAGCGCCAGGCCTGTAGCCTGGCCTGCCTCAAACTGTACAAGGTCATTGATGACAAACTCTGATTTTTAGGCTAAAGAATTCTTCTTTGCCAGGAATCTAACTAGGTTGTAGTACATCCGTCTGTGGACATGTCTAATGATGCTCCCTAAGAGGCCTGAGAAGATGCCATTGCTGAGTTTCTATCCGATTCGCTCTCATCTTCAGACCCGCATGCCTTGTTCTCATGATCTGGGCCAGCTATCTGCGCAGGCCCTTTGGCTGGTAGCTGAAACATGCCTATTCATAGAAACACCAGCCACACTGGTTCTTCCTGGGTTAGCTCATCACAGAACTCTGGAAAGCCAGGGCAAGATCAGTGTTAACATTGTCCTTGGTTTGTTTTAAGTTTCACGTGAAATTCCTTTACATGGTATTGTAGTCTAATGGGACATATGTCCAGGGTCAAATTCTGATACACTAGCCTAAATCCAGTGTAACTTCACATCCTCCACTATAGATTTATACTGAAGCTGGCCCTATGCATCTGTTGCTTTTAATCTACTTTTCTTTTATCTTAATTACTGCGAAAGGGTAGAAACTGTCAATAGTTGGTGCTAATTCAGGAATCCACAGGGTTTTATGTTACAAAATCAGCTTTCCAACGTGCAGAAGTAACAAAAACACATCAGTAGAGAGGAATAAGGATTAAGACAGGCAAGGGCAAGCAACGATGGAGGAAAAAATGTGTTTTAGATACTTGGCTCTTTTGATGAATCCTGATAGAGGGTTCCAGATTGGACTAAAAGATGATTGTGGTTCTGTTCGTTCTGCTGTTTATTTCATATTTGTATCTTAAACCCCTCAGTAAATGATAATATTGAGGCTGTTCTTATGTGCCATAATATTTCTTCAGAGAACTGTGATAAAAGCTTCTAACCAACCATTTTCACATCTATTGAGAAAGCATGGTCTAAGGGGTAAAGCACTAGACTGGGACTCAGGTGACCTGTGCTCAACTCTGTTTCTGCTCTATACTTCCTGTGTGACCTTAGATGAATCACTTTATTTCTGTGCCTCAGTTTCCCCATATGTAAAGTGTGGATGATGATACTTCCCTACCTGAGAGAGGAGTGGGAAGGATAAATCTATAGTGATTGTGAGGCAGTTCAGATGCAGCAATAACGGGAATGCAATGAATTGGGAATGTGTCAGTACAACTTGTGAATTCCGATTGATATTGTAAAGTTGCATTATGAAAAACTGCTGAAACGTGAGTGCTTTTCTGTGTGTTGATCCACCATTGCTAACAGGGCCTGTAGCAGGAACACACCAGACAGGGACAATAGGGAATACTTTAAATGTTAACGATGGTTCTCAGCCCTTCCAAAGGTTATGCTAAAAAGTAGCTCATGCCTTGGAAATCAAGTGTGGTCTACCCACCGACCGGCAGGGGGAAAGGTAAGGGCAGTGAAAACTTACCAGGATTAGAACAAAAGAGACCAGGTGACCAGGAGGGGTTTAAATAAAGAACACACCGGAACAGGGAGCCAGGCAGGAAGAGGACACATGGGGCAGGAGAGAGCAAGGTCACAGACAGAAGCTGGGTGAGGGGCTTCAGAAGGGAGAGGTCAGCATGTAGCAGCCCCACAAGTCAGGAGGCCCCGATGGCCCCAAGGACTCAGACCCCAGCCCAAAGAATGCTCTGGAGTGGTGAGGAAATGGAAACAGGGGCATGTGTTCTCTATGAGCTGTGCCCTCTTCTGCTTTATGTGCTCAATAATAAAGAGCAGGAAGGTGCTGGACTGTGCAGAGTGCATGTGTGTTGGCTACGTTACGACTTCTGCGTCCCCCTGCGAGAATTAAACTGTAACCAGAAGCTTCACCTTTTTTGGGTGGAGTTCTGGGGGAAGGTTGTGTTTACATCACTGGGGCGTCTTGGGGGTCAGCGCTGGTCCCAAAGGCCGAGGGCAGGTGAGCTGAGGAGCCCCATATACAAGAAGGGGTGGCAGACTCACCAGAGGAAGAACCAGTGCTGCAGCCTTCTTAGCCTGTAGACGCTTAAGGGGATCCAGAGTGGCGGAGGTTTGGATTCCCCTTGTCGCAGCCGTCTTCGGAGGTGGCCATGAGGGAAGGTTAAAAAAATCTGAGCAAGTTCAGTCTTGAGAAAGGCAGACTGAGGAGGGACCTGGGAACAGTCTTCAAATACATGAAGGGCTGATCTAAAGAGGACGGGGATCAATTGTTCTCCATGTCCACTGAAGGTAGGACAAGCAATGGGCTCAATCTGCAGCAAGGGAGATAGATATTAGGAAAAGCTTTCTAGCTCTAAGATTAGCTAAGTTCTGGAACAGGCTTCTAAGGGATGTTGTGGAGTCTGTGTCATTGGTGGTGTTTGAGAACAGGTTGCACAAATCCCTGTCAGGGATGGTCTAGGTTTACTTGGTTCCTAGACTTGATGACTTCTCGAGGTTTCTTCCAGCCTGACGTCGCTGTGATTCTGTGATGGGGCTATGTAAGTAGACAGACAGGACTACACTATGACTGTACAGTGAGTGCCCTTCAAATTTGCCCTGATGTGAAAGATTCTATTGTCTTCGGTGACTTTTCCTCTCTTTAAATCGGGAATTGCATCGGGTCTGACAGAATCTTTCAGACCAGTGGAACTTTTCAAAGGTGCTGACCGTAATTCTAGGTAAA